GCTCGCTCCTGTATGATAAAATCTGTAAGACAGACCGGTTCTTCTACTATAAAAAAAGATAGTGTACACACATAATGCAGAGGGAAGGCCTTGAACCTTCAATCCCTGGCAGCATAACTGGGTATGTCAATCCATCTCCAATCGTCATATCCAGTTCAAGTCTAACAACATTCTATGAACTGCAACATCACAACTCAAATGAGAGGGACCTATGTATCTCTTCAGCCTTTTTACTTTGGCTTATTTTTGTGATATGCCAAGCATACAAAAATAAACACACAGTGTGTCCATGCAGCTAATGGAGGGGCCAGGAGAATTTTGTGAGCTTGCATTCATTTGCATTCACTTGCAGCTGTATCAATGCATTTATGTCGTCATATGTGCATGCTATTATATATGGATGTGAGTGACTTTTAGGCACTTGACTGCTCAAAAGGTTTTCTCAGCTCTTAAAGTGATCTGGGACCTGTTACAAGTAGATAATAGTGTGATATGAATTGCTACAGACACAATAGACATCCATTTACCTATCCAAAAGGTCCCTCTGGACTGTCCCATGCACTATATGCATGAAGTTCTCATACCAAAACCAGTGCAAGCCCTAATGCAAGTCAAAACATAAGAATGCATGCATAGATCAAGTTAACACATGTGTTCTTCCATTCCTCACAAGTGTTTGACCACTAACACAAATGGTAAGGCATCCCTTGCATGCGTTCAGATAAGAATGCAAGTCAATGCAAATGTGACAGGCATGTCACACACTTACGAGCATTTGTGTTCAACTCAAGTTGAACTTGTGTCAGTTGCCTTTTCATCTGCCATGGTCTTATATCAATGATACATGATTTTTTGAGGCAAGATCTGTGCAAAAACTTGTGGTTCACAAGTGTGCAGAAACTTGAAATAATGTTCATGGCAATCACACTAGCAATACTCTACTAACTACAAGGCTTTTATACTGCCAGAATATGTAGAATTTACTAGAATGTATGACTGTATCACTGATACAATGAGTAAGCATCCTGGGGAATATGAAGAGAATGAGTGAGAATATTCATGCAAGCACCAACATCTAAAAATACTGGTACTACAGGAGGTCTGCTAAAACAGGTACCTAGTGGTTTCTCCACCTTGGAGTACTTTCATACTGTTGGGATTTGCAACTTCAAGCTCATACTAGAAGATTCCCGAAGCTTTGGCTTACTCATTTGTCATGATACTTAGATATATTTAGTACTTTTGGTAGAATATTCTAGATACTTTGTGTAGTATATAAGGAGCTCATTAGGAGCTCTAGTAGCTAACAATTTAGTATTATACCTACTGCAAGCCTCCCACTGCAATCATTCCAACACATACATCCTAATAGGTGTAACTGCATCTAATAGTACTTGTTGCTGTACTGTAACAAGCTGTTCACAAGTAATTTTTATGTATGAGAAGGTTCATGGTTAGGTCTGCGGAGTAGATCCAGGCATTGCCGAGAAGCCAACCCTGTCCCTGATAGTGCATTCACAGCAAGACTCTAGCTTGTATAGATTCCAAGTCCTATGAATATAGGATACTCGGTTATTATGGTGTTGTGAAACCCCATGGGAAATTCTATTCGTGGAATCAGTGATGGCAGTGTTTGCCGTCCCATCCTGTTTCTTCCTCTGTGGGTCTCTCATGGGAATAATTCTATTCGTGGATGGCTATTCCCATTTTTTTTCATGCTCCGCAGTTTGCTCTTGTGCCACATCGCATTTCCCCTAGCCTGCTTCCTGTTCTCGTTTTGTTTTCCATCATTTATATTCCGTATCCTCTTTAATTGATGTGTCTGTCTTGATCGATCTTATGTCCAGCCTTGTCCTTCTTGCTCGTCTCGTTTCACTCCTGGTCTCTTCATCATGCACTTTTCTTAATTCGGAATTCACGTTTCTCGTTCATACATATATCTGTGTATCACATCAACATCATGATCTCTTCCTCCTCCTCCATTTCCGTCCTATTAAACCTTTTTGCCATGGTCTGTATGTCGTCTTCCTCATCTTCAAAACCTATCTTCCTCTTCATTTTCACCACTGACTGTGATGGTGTATTAGCCGTGTTCCTTCTTTCTGCATTTGCCTTCTGTGACTTTTTCAGCGACGTTTGACATACACGTTGAAGTGCTCACTGATGAATGGTCTGAGTTTGCGAGCGCTATGGCTCTCAATATCAATTTGGTCTTTGTGACACCGTCATTGGTCTTCATGAACACCATAGAGCACTGGGCTTCCATGATATCACCTATTCTGAGCATTTGGGGCTTCACCATCACATATCTGCATTCACAAGGTATGGTTGGCTCCATTCTGAGCACATATATGTTGATCTTGCTTACCTTTTCTTGCCTGCTTCATCTATCAGACCCCTGAAGTATCCCACCTCATTGTCCTCAGTGTGCACCCATTTTTGTTGCGCTATCTTGGCTAGGATTTCCATCGGGTCGACGTCAGGCGAAAAGGGTATGTCCTCCTCATTCGAGTTGTTCCGAGGTCTGAAGTATTGGTTTGACAGCTCCACCACGTCCAGATCCTTTACCTTTGTCGGCTTCCATTCTTCCATCTCGCCCTCCTTGAACTCTCTCTCCCATCATTTGCAGACTCTTTATAGCAGATATGGCCTTGTCATACCCCTTGCTCCTGAGACCTATGAGTTGTACTGTTTGGCTTAGGAATCTCGCTTTCTCTTTTTGCATCCTGACTATGACTTTCATGAATACACTACATTCATTTGGACCGTATTGTCTGCTCACCTTGTTTCCTTTGTGACAGGCAGTAGATCCATCGTGTATATTGCACCGGTCATCGTGAATACCACTTCTTCTATCATGCCCTCTCCTGTGGTCTTTCAGATGATCCTCCATGCACCCGCGTCCTCATCTCTCTCGATGCTCGCCGATTTGATAACGCTGTGTTCCTAGTATGTCTCTTCAGTACGATTCTACCTTGCCATAATTGATTCTTACCTTCATAACCCGTGACAGGTGCAGTTTGTCTTTTGCCATCCTCTCATTTATGAGTGCTTCGATCGTGTCTCCTGTGCATGCCTACGTTAGTCATTTTCTCCAATCTGTTTTGATTGTTACTTACTCACTTCGTCTCTGTCATAGAATCAATCCATCCTTTCGCAACAAACTGGTTGTGGATTTGGTACCTGTTTGCCACTATATTTCTTTTCCTTCTATTACTTCTCGCCCTGTTTTCTACCAATGTCTACCTCTGTCATGATGATGTTCGTATCCGATGGCACTGATGGTTGTCTTCTGGCTTGACTCTCATCAGGTTTTCGTTTCTTTTGTCCATCGTATCTCCTGTCATATCTCATGTTCATCTCCTACAGTGCTATCTTATCCTTGGTTTTACCTGCTTCCCTTGACCCTATGCATATGTTGTGACATCCTTTTTCGTGTTTTTGTTGTCTCTATTACCATGCTGGGTTGCCCATGCGCTCGTCTGTGTGCTTCAATTCGTTTGTTTCATGTATGTCATTATTAATTTGCTGTGTTATGTACATTCTTTTCATTATATTTTTTTGCTTCTTTTGATTCTACAACAATCAGCGTATTCTCTGCATGTGTCATCCAGTTCCCTTCGATTCTTTTGGACGTCTCATTCGCTTGTCATCGTGGTATTTACCCCTGGGGGTGAAGGCTCAATTGACCTTCATGCCTTGATGTGTTCCATTGCCCTTCTCCCTCGACTCTCGCGATCCTCACTGGTGCAACCTTCCGTCCGTGCATATCCTGATCCCACATCCATAGTTGATGGAAATGCATGTTATCAACTAGTGGGTATTGTATATTTCGGAAACAGTCATTTTACAGCCAGGTATGTTGATCCCGACCGTGTTGTATGGTTCAATGATGGTATGATTCAATGGAGACGTGCAACACAAGAAGGTGGAATCGACATCATTGATATGCACATTGATCCAAACGGCAAAACTCCGGATATATTCACATACAAACGATGCACCAGGTAAGGTGATTGATCTATCTGACAAACATAGGACTCGGAATTGCCACATGTATGGGATGGCCCTCACTTGCTAGTAATATAAGTCCATTCCAATGCAGTAATACCCTTGGGATATATACAATAGTCAATTACTAGACAAGAATGTCTTAGCAAAATAGAAAAGAAATCTACAAACATCGGAATTTCGCTTCCAGTCAACTTCCGGTACAAAGCCAGACCCAGAATTGAGGTGTGATCATGGAGTTCTACATGGAACCTCACTGCCAAAGGGGGTCAAGAATATGCCAAGTTGTGAGATGCGGTCCACAATGCACAGTTGACAGTTCTAAAATTGTTTTGAACATGAGGTTAAGCTCTGAAAACTTGAAGTTGAACTTGATCATGTCATGCTCGCAAATGATGTCACACTCGCAAATGCAAACGCAATTTTGGGAATGCAAGTATAATTTATTGAAGCGCATGCAGATCAACACAAACGCAAATGCAAATGCAAGCTTGCAAGTCAACGCAAGCTTGCAAAGGTAGCTCACAAAATTCTACGTGCCCCTAATGGAGCATAAGTAATAACCACTGCATGCTACACTGCCCACACGGAAATCTGTGTTGAAAATAAATTTGGGTGCCTTGCTTCTTCTGAGATCCGGTCACAAAGGATATTATTCATCCGAATGCTGTTAGCGCCAATCACAAGGATAGCAAGAATTTGATATCAAAGCAGTGTTTGCGATCTGCTGTAGAGGGAGAAGGCCATATGCTAAGCAATTTGATAGTCCCCAGCAGATTGATGACGAGACTTAAAGTGGAACGGTCAACAGCTTTTATTCAGCCTTCTGTCCATTGACTTACAACAACGATGTTCTCACTTTATGCACTGCCCACATATACCCTCATTATCACGGTGGGCACCTATCAGTCCAATCACCTGTTAAAAATTGCGCATGCCTTTCTTATAAAGGATCCTTTTACAATGATCCTTCTTTCTTCCCAACCATCATGTCCCATACCCGGTCCACGTCCACTACCCAGCCCACGTCCACTACTCATCCCCAAAAATACATCATCATTTCGAGGGGAAATAAAAGCAATGTCACTTTAAAGTCTCAAGTATACACTTCCCAGGTCTGTTATTCCGAACTTCACAATTGTATTCACCCTCACCTGCTCTCTCCTGAAATAGTGCTTATTCCAATACATACACAACAAATTCCCAGACACGTATAAATGGGTGAACAATCACTGGGAAAAAATCCCGCTAGTCATCCAAACATGTGACTTGCCCATCTGTAAGGGAAATTTTGTGGATATTGAGCCCGATTTGTGGCAAACGATAATATACGACATCAATAACATCCGTGTTGTGAGTTCTATCCAACTCTTCATTTTTCACTGAAATTGATTGAGATATGATTAGATAAACAGGCGTTGATCCTACGTATTCAGTCGCCACCATAGACCATGGTTGTATGCTCCGCTCCAATGTAATAAATACATTTTGTTTTCCCAGTGTTTGTAAATGATAATATAGCAATTGATATGTGTTGACCGTTTTCCTTTGATATGTATGGCTCACAAAATACTGGATACCTTAGCATCGGGCATTCCATGTACTAATCTAAGGAGTACATCCTCTCATGTTGACCACAGTTGACAATCTAGGTGCGCTTTGTAAAAATGTACATGTTGTACATGTTTATCACTCGGCATCACTGTAAGCCTCAGATATCATGGATATATCTTGATAATTGCTTCCGAAGTCGGGTTTACCACTTCGCCGTCAGCATTCCGAGTGGCGGCAAACAGTGTTCGCTCATTTGCTTTGCATGGATACATGCACTATAACGCGGCAGATATGAAGCTGATCGTCCAATATCACATCTCACTGGTGCATAGACCGCAGACAATAGCTTGATATGGCTGAATGCGCTTCCATGCGGCTTGACCTTTCTCAGGGAGGAGGTAGCAGCTCACAAATTAGCTAGACCCGGTAATCGGTCTACGGTCGCAAGCTGGTACCTCATAATGCACGTTCATTCCTCTGGGACCCTGTTTTTGTGTCGCTTTACGGTTCAGACATTTAGTGAGCAGCGATTCCTTATATTGAGTCCCATCAGTAGTACAATACAATTCTCGGTAGTTACACAGCCGACAAGCTCAGGATGAGAGTACAGCCTCACGGGACATCCAAATGTCCCTCAAAATCAAGCGCTGTTTGATATGAGATATTTTTGTGGATGATGCAGTGGCTAAATCGTTGAGCCTGGCGGTGCTGACAGAGAAGGAAGCGATGGAAGTCGATGACGAGGATATATAGTACCCCTAACAAGCGCGAGACAGTTAATGGGGACGTCAGCAAGCACTAGGTGTAATCGATCCGAGATGCTGTAGAGAAAGAATCTCGGGGTAAAGACAATATTTATATCCTACTAGTCCACAGCCATGGTGATGGTACGGGTACATCGGGCCAAAACATGTGAACTGCTGTCCACACCGTTGCTTCTACAAAGAAATAGCGCCAAATCCAGGAGAATCAGCAAACCTTCGAGCGAAAGGACAGGTGAAAACGACGTACAGATCATTACAGAGGAATGATTCTTGCGGAACATCGCTCATGAACATCTACCACGATGTGAGCCAGGTTTCTGATAAAGAGAAAATACGTACCTAGATGGCTAGTATATCTTTCCGTTCGCCTCCCGCTGCAGCGTATACTCCTCTTATAATATCTAATATTTTGCCGGTAAAAGCAAAGGTCCAGCCAGATGGTAGTCAAGACCAACATCAAAACAGGAAGGCCATTACTGTTGTCCTCTCAACGTACAGAATATCAAAACTAGTCCTAGCTAGAGAATCGGCCGGTATTGTTGCAATGTGAGTAAGGGCGACACGAAGACGGGATGTGAGGTCAGTCGTTGCGCTGATGGGAGATGGGAAAGTGACGTCTGCATTCCGAGTCCTGTTATCTAGGCGGAGAGGGTTTGGGCAAGGTACAAAGCGGATGGGCTCCTTTAGACCATGTCGCCGTAGGGAGCGAGTTCAATGTGATGATCGATCCAAGTCATACTGGAAATCGCGTCGTTTGGATGCCTCCAATTTTTGCCAGGGAAGATGGAACGAACAAAGTCGCGAAGGGAGCTAGAAGGGCACTGCTAAGACGCGTGGTGGTCGTAGGAAAGAAGGTGAGTGTCGCGTTACGCGTGACAATCAATGACGCGTCGCATGAGCCTCGAGGCTCTTTGATGGGCATCCGGAACTTTCCGATCCCGAGTTTCTCCCCTGCTGCGAATAGTGAGCACTCTGTTCATACTAAAATTGGAAGCCAGACTATGCTCAGATGAAGATAAGACACTCTTATAGAGATTACAGTCTCCCGGGTTGTACTCAACATGATGTGGGCGTTCTGGAATGGTGCACTATGATTCTTGTAGTATCAAGCTGACTACATGCACATCTACATGTAGTACTCTGCTCTCTCGCATCTCTTTCGCGCGTGCGCACTCAGCCACTGCCTCGACTAGCAGAGATGTTGCTAAGCACGCTCTATTCAGAGCCTGATATGCTCGTTGCAGATTCAGCCACCGCATTCATAGGCACTCTGGCGATGGAATTTCGTATGTTCACGTCCTTCCGAGCCTTCCAGTTAAGCCATTTATTCACTCGACCATACAGAGACAAATCTTCCGCGTGCAGCCATGGGGCAGACTAGCAGATATTTCGTATCAGGGAGGAATTGTACATTCACATATAAAATTCCAACGCGACGTGGAGCCTTCCTGTGTCTAATTCCTTTTATGCCACCGTTTTTCTGTAGCGAAATCTCCAGTCTCTTATCTTCACTAGTATCCATCACACCCTCATCTCCGCACCATAATTCTCGCCTTTCCGTGAATCCAGACTCTCAGCAGCAATGCCTGCACCAGCCGGCAGTGCCCCCAAGACGTCTCCCGTGATGCGCATCCCCCAGATGGGCGGATCGAGGTATCGCGGGGAGGGGTATGATTGGGATGAAGGCTTCTCGAACGGCTTGGAGAAGGTAGTTTCCCCTTGGCAGTTTTTCATCTACAAACAGAGGACAGAGCTTCAGTTGATCACGAACAGGTCTACTTCGATGTATTGCATTCCCCTCTCATCTCTGACATGCGGCTAGCTCGGGTCGAGTCAATGGGTGATCCCAAACGGATTAAAAAAGTTTCCCATGACAACACCATTGATATCGATCTTGGATATAGGGAATCGAACCCCACGACTAACCAAACAGCCCCTTAGCCATATCCACGTAGCGACTACCAACCAAATATCCTACTCCCAAAGCAAAACCGGTCGTAACATTCCAGCCCCAAACTCCGATCCAGCCATCCTTCAAAACGAATATAAATTTCCCCCTCAACCCCTCAGATGGACACGAGGAATCGACCCATCGTGCTTCGTCGCTGGTGGAGATGTTTCCTGATACACCACCCATGTCCAAGCAGCACGAAGAAAGAACATCTGTTCCTCACCCCAGCACCCAACGAAACAGTAAAAAACTTACTAGCGTGCGAGAGCTCGTCAGCCTAGACAAGAGCGATTCTGGTAGCCATCCAAGAGAACAAGCCGGAACTTGCATTAAAATCCAAGGGAAAAGCATTCATTTGACTATGGGGAATGGAACCCCGACTCAGTACTCAGTACGCACCGACTACCAAGCCATACCAACGGTGGACATTGCGGAATCTGTTCCTTTACCTACCATTACGCTCAACACTTTATTGAACAGGAGGATCAAGAGAAATTGGTCCTATCGTCGTGATGACGTTAAAGCTGGATGGGCATCAAGACAGTTTCAACACTTCATTCGGATGGTGGTGCATTCTCGCTGCAGGGAAGAGGAATTATATTTATACGGTATCACCTTATGGTGCTTGTGCAGATATTCCCAAGCGTGGTACACGTGGAGGGCCGAGCTCAGGATTACAGCACATCCAATAAAGTAAGCTTTTCTCCACGTTAACGTGCATCTAAGCATCGTCATGAGCGTCGTGAGTAACAAGCCCGACAAGACGATTGAGCCATTGACTTACCTTTGTTCATTCAACCCACTCCGGGTCACCCCGTACCAGCAAAATAAATACGCCAGATTCCTCCTCTCTGCCCCACGCAGGAGGATAAATGTATCCCTATTTCGTGGCGGAGTACATGGCTACACAAAATTATTCGCACTCTCATATCGATGAGTCGAAGGCAAACTGGCCTCAACATAGACCACGACGGGCGTTCAACCTATTAGATACCTTAACGTGAACGGAAGAATGATGAACGGATTTAGATACTTACGTTATCGATAGCGAGCTGGTATACTGCCCATCGTATCATGGGAATACCTGCCAGAGGTATGTTTGTTGGTGACTTGACCATGGCAGTTGCCGCACATATCCTGCGACATGAAGCGAATGCGAAGTCGGAGCAGCATCAAACGTCGAAGATAAAGGATGCGTGGGAAGGACGTGCAGATTGTCGTGGGGAGAAATAGGTTATAGGAGGAAACGGCACGCACACATCTGCGAGAATGTGAGCGAGAGTGGGGATAAAGAGAGAAGACGTACCTAGAGGGCAGGCACAACATAGCGTGCACCACCTATAACCATACATCCTCCTGTTGGAATGTCAACACAGTTCAAGCTATAATAACCCCGGGTCAATGTGGTAAGCGAGAGCTGATCTCAAAGCGGGCACACGTTGATTTGTTATCATTTTCCCAGTACCGTGCATGATTTCACCTACTAGGGCGTAGCTAGAGGTATTCGGTGACAGTGCTTGTTGGCGCCAAGGACGATGCATACGCGCAATTGTTCAAAAGACCTGGTGAAGACGGGAGTTGACTAGGACTTTGAGGTCAGTCATTGTGTCGATAAGAAGACGAAACCTGCGTGACGGGACGAGAGCAAACATTTTTGGTCACAAGGACTGCGATAAAACATTGGGCATGATATGACGCTGATGGGATTGATAACTCACCTTGCTCTGGACCATGCATCCAAATCAAGATCTAGCGACAGAGCTCATTAGCGTGGACTATATTCACGACGCAGAGGGGGATGAAGCGAGAAAAGACGCGTCAGAACTGGAAGGCCGTCGCATAAAGATGTGGTGGTTGTGGGCAGGAAGGTAACGACGTGTTATGCGTGACAATCAGTAACACGTCCACGCCTTGACTTGTGCCACCACTCTCCGCACGCGACCCTCGACGCTCTCTTTGCAAGCAACCCGGGATCGAGGGCATCAATACACTTCCACTAAATCTGGACACTGCGTGCAACTCAACCGGGAAAGGACTCGGAGACGTAGGGACTCGGAGGTTCCTATTGCAGACTCGAGATGGGTTCGGTAATTTGAAACAGAGGAGGGAGGGAGGGATGAGACCGTACGTGTCCTATCATTATTGCCACAGCAAGCTGACTGTATGCGCATTTACAAGCACAAACTTCCTCGCATCTCCCTCGCCCGAACAGAACTCTATTCTACCCCATGAACACGACACATTCCTTAGCACGCAATATTTGTATCTTCATTCTCATGCCATCATCCTTCGCATGTATGAAGCAGAGACGACGTCTCTGTACACCTGAGCAAACAGAAAGGCAGTACGTATGCCCGCAGAGTTATCGTACGTTCTCCTTAGATCCTTCTTACCTAGCTGTTTGCGCATTCATCCTGAAACAGAAACCCACATACGAGCTTCTGAGGCGTAGACCGTCGCTATGAGCCGGACTATTGAATCTTTCATAGCGGAATAAGTCGTACATGGCGCAGAAGTCCTCCGCATGTCCCGCGACATTACGTATCTTATCTGTGTCTTTTCAGATTATTTTCGGGCCATCGTGTAACTGGTCGTGAGTATTCTACGAGTTATAAAAGGTCTGCTCTCACAGATCAGGACTTCATATACCGAATTTATAGAGCTCAAAGTCGTCGCATGTATGGCTATATCCCAAGGCTTTCTTCACTTCACCTATCGCGTGAGCAGCGACAAAGGCTTACTACTGATCGAGTATCATGCAAGTACTTGTTAGCCAGAGAGGGCTCACAAGCTGGGAACGCAGACAAGAGGACGGATAACCAATGACACGCACCGGTCGGCGCAATCCACCTCCTATACCCGCGTTGCCGTCATTGATTTCCTCGTACGATACTTAGATCTATACTGCCATGTTGCTAGCTGTTTCGTATCCTAGCCGTGTCCTTAAAAACAACGGAACTCCAACAATAACCCAGACATCGGGAATCGAACCCAGACTCACGCACACCATACCAACTCTGGGATTCCACCGTCAAATAATCCAACTACTTCTTCTCTCACTTCAAGAGTGCGAATGCAATGTATATCCCCAGAATGAAAACTCGCTGCATGCATAAAACTGCTATTCCAAACAGGGAGTGAAAAAATGACGCCAGTCAGAGGTGGAAGTATGTGGAAAGGGAATCGAACCCTTAGCAGGGTAGGGCGCATAGCCCTCCTTGGCCATCATCATATTGGATACACGTAGCCTATGTTCACCCTCTCTTTGCGCCGAAAAAGAATACCTCTTATTATCACGAAAGGTTGTGTCGGCCGTAGCCCAAAGCAGACAGCGATGAACGGAAGTATTGAAATTTATTACGCATATCCACGAAATATTTACAACAATAATTAGCATTCATATGAAGTCTGACTCATATGCGGAATGCAAAAGTAAAAGTAACAAAGGTCTCGACACCGATAACGTCATTCCACAGGGATTCGAACCCCAGCGTGTGCATGTTCGTTACACATGAGAGGAGACGGAAGCAACCACTGAAATTCCTCTATGCTCAAGTTTTCAGACAGAAAATTATGACCTGCAATAACATTGACGTATTGTGGTCAAGTCCCCACGGCAAGCCAAATCTTCCGGGCGTATTACGGTGTTTCGTGTTGCATCTCTTGTGAAAAGAAGAAAACACAGTCATCCTACCCACTTGCTTTACAATATCTACTCTTCTCCCCCCTTCCTTTCTTGGCGTCTTAACTATAACTAATGAAACTACGTACGCTCCCACGTGAAAGTCAACCTCGGCGTTCATGCCTATATTGGGAAAATCACATTGATCCGGAAACAGCTTTTGCTCTTACCGTACGCTCGCTTGCTCTGCAGATCACAGGTGTCTTATACCATATCACTTACAATGCGAGGGTACTATCATTTGGTCTCATTTATCTTTGGTGACATGTTTATCCTCTCAAGACCTGAACGCGCATATTTTCGCGACTAGGTCCCTTCCAAGATTTCAAGAACCGAAGGGCCACAGTTTTCCCTTTTGTGGAGAGTGCAGGACATGTATGAGATCGAATATCATTTCCCCAGACTTACAGATCTTATGGGGGGCCATCAATGCGGCACCTACAAAGTGACAATAGATCCCCGTGTGGAATGCCGGCTGATACTCCCTGCAGGCACACATACTTGCCGTCGAAACAGCGGTGAAAGATCTATGGCTTCGTTGGAAAACTACGCACGGAGTCTATGTCTGAGGCGCCCCTCCGCATCGGATTGTCATCTCGCAAAAACTGGCTCTCAGTGCGACATGAACGCTGTAGTAAATTAGGTCCTACATAGAGGTGGTCTCGTGAGGAAGGTAAATGATATTATTTCTCATTCAAAGCTAACCAGTTTCAGTTCTTCATTAGGATTACGATAAACAATTACAAGAAGTCACAAACATATTCCCATCTCAAACCGTATCACCATGGATCCAATATAAAAACATAACGAGAGTTCTAATAATTACAAAACGTGGTATAGGCTAAGGACTAGTAGCGCGCCCTCTCTTCTCATGTCAGAAAGACGAATTCCAGGATATGACTGGAACATAGGGAATCGATCCCCGGGAATAAGCCGTCGTGACCGTTAGACGAGATCCGTATGTCTTTAGGACACGCGCGATGCCCCATCTAACATATCCGTAGCATGCGTGGCTTTGAAGAGACGAACTCTGTTATATATATCAACGGGTGAGAAGTGAAACAAGCATCGCTCGCTCCTGTACGATAAGATCTGCAAGACAGACCGGTTTCTCTAAGTAAAAAAAAAAGTTAGTGTACACGCATAACGTGGAGAGAAGGACTCGAACTTTCAGTTACTGATGGCATCACCAGGTATGCCAATTGATCTCAAACCGTCATATCCAGCTCACGTATAGCAACGTGTCATGAACCGCAACATCACAACTCAAATGCGAGGGACCTATCTATTTCTTCTGTGTTTTTATTTTACCCATTTGTTGCTTTCCCTAAGCCTTTCTGCAACGGCCTACAGGCGCCTTCGAAAAATATGGTAAAATATTCCTCCCCTTGGTCCATGTGAATATGGGGAATCGAACTCCAACTCAGTACTCGGTACGAGACTACCACCAAGTCATATAAACGGTGGACAGCGGTCCTGTTTTGCAGAATCTCTCCCTTGGCAGACTTCAGAGTGAATGAATGTGGGCCACGGCGAACGCTTATTTCACGGAACGCAATGCTAGACCGCACAAACTGCGGACACAACATGAAGACATCGAGACATCTCTATCGTTCGCACACATTGTGGAACACCCTCGCTGCACTGAATGTAGGGATGATCAATTATATATATTATTGCATCACTTTACGCTGATTTCATTGAAAGATTCTAGCTAGTTTTCCGCCGAGGGGACACAGCGTATCACATAAAGTACGGTCCGTTCTGCCTTTGTCTGGATGCGTCCTTTCTCACCCCGTCTTCTCTTGGATGATTGGCGCTGTGAATCCAGCCATGTCTTGGTCTGCAATGATGATCGCTGTCATTGGATATTCCTTTGCTGGCACGGTCTGGAACGAGGTGAGTTATCAGCTCTATTGGTGTTATACCGTGCCCAATGTTTTCATCACAGACCTTGTGACCAAAACGTTTTGCTCCCATCCCGTCACGCATGCTTCGTCTTCCTATCAGCGGAATGACTGACTTCAAAGTCAACTCCCGTTTTCACCAGCATCCTCGCACAATTGCGCATATGGATCATCCTCGAAGCCAACCAGCACCGGTGCCGAATACATCTAGCTTCTCCCCAGGCGGTGAAATCATGCACGGCATGGAAAAAGAACTATTGCATGCCGGCTTCGATACTAGCTCTCGCTTATTACACTGACCTGAGGTTGTTGTAGCTCGAACTGCGTTGGATGTTCTAATAGGATGTGTGGTGGTGGTGGTGGTGTTGTGGGAGGTGGACACGATATTGTGCTAGCCCTTTAAGTACGTCTTCTCTGATTATTCGCACTCTCGCTCACATCGTCATAGATGTATGCATGACGTGCCCTGCAACAGTCGCCATTTCTCCTACGACAATGTGCATGTCCTTCTCACGCATCCTTGAATTCCGACGTTCGATGTTGATGATGCCCCCACTGTTCTGTCCAGGATAAGCACGGAAGCTACCATTCACATGTTCTGGGTACGTCTTTGTCGACATCTCTCGCTTCCCGTCTTCATGAAAATGCCTGTAGATCACGATCTCGTCAAATATAATATTCGGGGGTGCACATTTTCCCATCGGAAAACATACGTCTCGCTACATCCTACCATGGTTAGTATTACCTAACTTCGGAGTGGTAATGTCAGTCTCGAAATCCATTCATCATTCTTCCATTCACGTAAAGATAGCTCGCAGGTTAAACACCCGTCGTGGTCTACATCGAGGCCACATTCATCTTCCTCTTGTCGAATTGGGAGTGCGATATATCTCCATAGCCGTTAACTCCACAAACCAGTGGCAGTGGTATGTTTATCCTCTTGTGTCGGAGGCATGAAAAATGAGATATTTGTTCTTTTGGTACAGGCTAGAAGGGATGAGCGGAGGTAAATGTCTTCATCGTCTTGTCGGGCTCGTTACTCATGACGATTCTTAGCTTCAGGTTAACGTGGAGCAGAGCATACTTTATTCCATACTCTGTAGCACTTCGGCGTACAGCTAGCTATGATTGTATCAATGCAAGTAGCGTAAGGTGATACCATATGGATTATAATACCTCTTTCCTGTAGCACTATGCCGACGAAACAATGAGAATGTCTTCATGTCCATCTCGGCTTGACGATTCAAAAGTTCTTGGGTGTCGCGTTATATTATGCGAGGCTTTCCTGTGCTACAGCGATAGCACTCATTTCGTGTTCAATAAAGTGTTGGACATCATGGTAAGCAAGGAGATTTCGCAACCGCCTTTTTCTACTAGCAGACTATGGCTCGGTGGTAGGCAACGTACTGGGTACCGAGTCGGGGTTCGGCGCCCCATATTCAAATCAACCATTGCACCAGGAATGTTATTGCAAGCTCCGTCCTGTTATATTCGAAGGCTACCCGAATCTTTCTTCGTGAGGACGTACTCTGGTGATTTTTTGTCCCCTTGGGTGCCGGGATGAGGAACAGACATTCCTTCTTCCTTCGTAGTGCTTGGACATGGTTGGTGAATCGGTAAACACCTCCGCCAGCCGCGAAGTACGACGGTTCGATTCCTCGTCTTCGTCTTAACGTGTTGAATGTGGAAACTTTTGTCCTTCTTTTCAACGATGATTGGATTGTTAGGCATGACCATGGCACGGTTCCTGTGATGCTTGTTCTGGACCAGGAGAAGTAGCTTTGAGTATCATTTTTGTCGCTAATTTCTTTACATGGATATGGATAAGCGGTGGTTCAGTCGGTTCTGGGGGTTCGATTTCCTATATCCTGAATTCCAATTGCGAGGTGCATATGTAATTTTGTTAGTGGCACTTGAGATTCCCCTCAAGTTAGCAACCGAGGGGTACGTTGGATGTGAGAGGGAACGTGATACATCAAACTAGGCCTTTCCGTGTTATTCTCAAGATGTACTGTAGACAAAACTCGGGGGAAACTGGGATGCCTCCAAAGTGTGAGCTTTATGGTTAATCGTCGTGTCACAGGCACGGGCAACAGTAACCTGACTTATCCATCCTCGCAGGATAATGAGCCGTCTAGTGCTCACAAGAAAGTTGGATCTGTTTCTGGCTCAATGCCGCGATGCTAGGACGGAGGGTTTGACGCCTGGGGTCAATTTCCCTTACTAGACTTCTGAACGAGAAGTTCGCGGTGGTTGTTTATTAGTACATGTAAACCACGTCTATTCAATGCGTTCATGCAATGTGACTATTTCTGAGGACTGTGTGCCCAGCCTTACTGAGGGTTCGATTCCGTTTCCACATGCTTCCCACCCCCGAACGATGAAAGATTTTTCACCCTTTGTTCGGAGTAGCAATTTTGCGCTTGTAACGAGCCTTGGGATTTACCTTTGGGCGGTAGGAGGGAGAGTACAAGAAGCTGGCTGTATTGCATGGCGGAATCCCAAAGCTGGTATAGTGCGGAATCGAAGGTTCGAGTCCTTCCCTCCACGTTATGCCGCATGCGTGTAGACGAACTTCTTTTTCTCGGAAGTTGGAATGCGGGGTTTCTGGTTCGGAAGGAGTAAATCAATGACTGTGACAGCTTGAACGGGGTACATACATTGATTTTCGGTCGTACGTACCATCTTTCTATTTGCGTAGGTGTATGGAGGTATTGTCTACGCTTTCTTGATGTAACAGATGATGACGGGTGCACAGGAATACCAACAGAGTGTGCCAAGGAACGTGCGGTGTTTGAATTGAGAGTACGGCATTCCGCAGGCGAGTAAGTCGCAGGAGGGCAGGTTGGTGCTTGTAGACGCGCATATAGTCAGTCTGATTACGGAAACAATGATAGGAAACGTACCGCATTCACTAGCACCAGTCATCGCTTCACTCCTTCCTCTGTGTCAAATCACCGAGCCTGTCTTGAGTTCGACATAGGAGCGTCCGTACCGGGAGGTCGCTAAGTCTGGGATGATTCCAGATGGTGTTCAGAAAGTGTGTTGAGGGTAGTGTGCGGAGAGTGATGGTAGCGGTGAAGGCGGGGAAGACGCATCACTGATTGTCACACATAATCTGATATCACCTTTCTGCTTTGGACCACTACCTCTCTCAGCAACGGCCTTCTAGCTCCTGATGTGTTATTTCTCGTTCCGTCTCCTCCATGAATCATTTCCATGGTGACTCCTGTCCGACTCGGGTCTACAGTGATGAACTCTGCCTTTAGATCTCACGGTCTAGATGAGGCGAGTTAAAATGTCATCCCTAACCATGTTGTACCACACCAAAATATTTGACATCTAGTTAGTAGTTCCTCGTGGAGATGTCTCTTTCTCATTGGTACGATGGCTTGTGTTGGCTTTCGTCTTCTGTGGCACCTTTGCACCATCATGCGTCATCCTAAGTAGCCTACCGGAACCGGATATCTTTGGGCTAGGCATAGTTCGTGGTCTACCGCGAGACAACTTGTCTTACTCTGGCCAAACTAGGAATGCAACGCTTCTGGGTAACCTTCAACCCCAAGACTGAATGATAGTAAGTTTATCATCTGGGGCACGTCGGAGACGAGAAATCTGATGTGTTTGTTCTGCTGCGACAGGCTGACCCGAATGGGCTAAATGAGCTATGGTAAATGGCTTGATCGTCTCCTCGGGCTCAAGGGGTTACGAGGATGTCAAATAATTACATCCACTCGATATTTTTTTTAAGGCCTGGTCGATCCGACCGACCGACTGCTGTGGGAATAACATACCTAATGAAGGCATAACATGCGGTATTGGTAAGCACACTGCCACCCGGTTAGAAGCAGTTACTGGTAGTAACCGATCTCTCCCGTCTAGACGTTGCCGGAATCCCCAAATTCGCCTCATCAGCAAGCTGGCAGGACTATTCCTTCATCATCTCTATCACTGAGAAGATGCTTAACAGAATCACACAGCCAACATCCTCAATGAGATCTTTATTCTTCATCAATTATTGCTTCCTCATGGCACTTTTGAGCTGATTAGTGCAGAAAAAAATTGATATAGAATTTTTTTTTAAGGCCTCTCAAAGGTGACCGACCGACCGACTGGGTGTACCGGCTTGACGGTCCGGTAACCCCTTGCTCGGGCTCGTTACTCATGACGACGTGTATATTAGAACTGGAAGGCCATCGCTTAGAGATGTGGTGGTCGTGAGCAGAAAAGAGATGTCACATTATGTGTGACAATCAGTAACGCATCTTCCATGCCTTGACTTGTGCCATCACTCTCCACACACTGACCCTCAACGCACTCTTTGCAAACCACCCGGAATCACCCTACCCAATTTATTTCGACATCGTGAGCATTGATATGCTTCCATTATACCTGGACAGAGCATACGTCCCAGCTGGGAAAGGACTGAGAGACTTGAGGTCCTCTCAACGGAGAGATTTCCATGCCCGACATAGGCTTGGTTATTTGAATCTGAGGAAGGAAGAGATTGAAGGCTATTAATTTCTTGTACATTTCCTGAAATTATAACCAGATCAAGCTGACTATATGCACATCTACAGGCTTCATCCTGTGTGTATCTCCCTTGCGTGCGCACAGTTCTTTAAGATTTATGTTTACACTCCACACGAGCATGGCACATTTATTACCACACATTGTGGTATCCCTGTGAGTTCGTCAACATCTCTCACATACATGAAGCAGAGACAATCCCTCCGTGCACCTGTGCAAACAGGACCTTTAGATGAGGAGTACACTCGATACTGTGAAACCACGTGACGGAAGCGAGACAGAAACTGTTAATTCAGTCGGTTTATGTAAACATATAAAGGTGCATCTCCTTGCAACTTGCTTAGAAGCGCTCACTGAGCACGACACAGTGATCATGGTATGAAGAGATGATCGACAGATTCGCCACTGTTCTCACCACCCAATGCATCGCACCCCACATCCAAACGCTCCCCTCCCAATGGATGAGCACCTTCCTCCCACCCTCCTCACCCTCCGCACGTGCCACCCTCAACTCCCTCTTTGACCACCACCCTCCTGACCCAGCCCTGCCCCGCCCACACTCTGTCGTCACCGTTGAGATAACCCACAACACACCCTTCGGCCACGATGTGGCAGCATCTCCGAGACGTCCTCTGTAGTGTACATCCCCCCCGACGGGTGCACCAGGCTACTGTGGTGAGGGGTACGATTGGGATAAAGGGTTCTCCAAGGACCCTGAGAGGGAGCTAGCGAACAAGGAGAATCTGCATGAGAGAGCTCTGTTGGCTCCTCTTCCTCCTCGTCCAGCGAGCATGGGGGATAGTATCGAGAGGAAGATGGGAGATGTGGAGTTGCGAGGGAGGAGTGTTGGAGATACAAGTATGCCCATAGTTGGACCTGTTTGTACCCACGGACTTAGTAGTATTTACATGTCGTGTTATTTTCATTCTTTTATTCCTTCTGTCTACTTACATTCATACTGTCACTGAATAGTATATATACCTCGTAGATTTACTCGTGCACCTCAGACGTGTTCTCTCACATTATGAGTGCCAGTCTGAGGTGAGATATCCTTACTTACTTGTTATCTTTACCTTTACTTACATTCACCGTAGTTATATCTTATTATAGGTGAATAGATGTGTTCTCTCACATTATGAGTGCCAGTCTGAGTTATATCTTATTATAGATAACTACAACCGCACTCTTGTATTCTAACAGGTTATTGGGCCCCGCGTCTCACCCTGTCTGTTTGCTGCATATCCTCTGTGAATCCCCACCATGTCTACTACGTTGTCTGCTGACTTCACTGCTCTGTTGAACGTTCCCAAACTCACCATAGATGGGAGCAACTGGCTGATCTTTCGTTTCTGTCTTGAGATCAGCATCGAGTCCAAAGGAGTCTGGGGTCATTTTGATGGCACTTCTCCGTCGCCTCCAAACCCGCCTCCTAGTGGTGACGCTGCTGCCATCACAGCACTCAATGAGTGGCTGAAGAAAGAGAAGGAAGCTCATCATTACCTTGCTCAGAAACTCGAAGACTCGACACTCACCGAATTGCTCCGTCTCACCTCTGTTGCGGAAATGTGGACTGCTTTGAGTAGGCAAGTACACTGCTCTCAGTAGCCATATCGTCACAGACATGCAACGTCAGTTCGACAATCTCAAATGTCCAGACAATGGGAATGTCCGTACACATCTGAACGTCCTCTGAATGAAGTACGAGGAACTCATAGGTGTTGGCGTGACCATTTCTCCCATTCAATATGCTACTCATATCATCGGTTCTCTTCCCACCCACTATCAATGCTACCTTTCCACTATTAACGATTCCGTGAATGCTGCAGTTGCTGCCACAAGGGCTGCTGCTGCCACATCAGTTTTGGCCGGTCCGAGCACTACTGCTGCGATTATGATTACCTCTGCAACAGCGTCATCGAGCCAAATTACTCTTGATCCCAGCTACATCATGCAGCTTGCGGAAAAAGAGTACGACAACATCCAGATCAATAAGAAATCCTCCAAGCCTCGAGAGGATACTGGTGTTGCGCTGTCTGCTCAGCAAAATGGCGGCCGTAATGGAAAGGGAAAAGGGAGGGAGTATCGGGAGAAGCGCCCAAAGGGAGTGTGCTGGAACTGTGGAGGGTGAGGGCATGTTCAGAAAAATTGCCCGAGTCCTAAGCAGTCGAAGGAGGGAGCTGATAAGGGGAAGTCAGCTGGTACCTCCAGATCTGCAAACACTGTAGATTTTGATGATGATGGAGCATGGGCTGCCATCGGGTCATCGATCCCTGTACCTCTTGGTCTGCAGCCGGGAGCAGGAACAATCTTCGATGTCGCATCATTGTTTGACTCATGGGATGAAGTCCCTACACTTGGATTAGCATTTGCTTCAGAGGATAGCAATGCAGAATCCGTACCTGGTTCCATGCCGGAATTGCAGGATGTGAGCGACTCTGAGGAGGAGGATTTTTTCGACTCTGACTCTGAATGCTCTGACATGCCCAACCTTGAATCCATATCCGACAGTGAGGATGAAGCGGATGAAGATGTGGAAGGGGAGAATACCGATGAGGAGGTAAATGCAGCAGCACCTCCAGAAACTCGGCCGTTTTCTGTGCATGCGGAATTGTACGACTCTGGATGCACTCAGCACTTGACTCCGTATAAGGACAAGATTGAGACATTGATGTGCTCGGCAACGGCGAGTGACAAAAGGCTAGTGAATGGATATGAACACCACAACACCAAAACCCTCTACTACTCTACACTAATCACCAATATTATTGAGTTCAGGTGTTTCAAGTACAATAGAAGCACTCTGCAGACTTCAACAAATCAGGGAAAGGTTGTTTAAAGATGTATATTTGGTACTAGTGAGCTACACAAGATGTAATACTCGCGCTAGTGGGGTTTTAAGACACCATTGGATGAATAGTGACTTGGGTTGAGCAACTGCGCTCGGTCTAACTCTGATACTTCGAAACTAGTGGCACTCTGGGCCAAATACTGGGTCTCACAAGCGGTCTACACTTGACTAGCAGCACCCTAGGCTCGACTAGTGGCACTCTTGGCCTAAGAACAAATACTTTAACTCCGAGAAAATACTTTAACTAACTTCGAAACGCTCTGAGTCACTCCAAGACGGAATAGTAACTTTAAGACACTTCAATTCGTTCAATACTATAGGTGACTAAGCAACTAGTAGACACTTCGTCGAGGTTAAGCACAAAAGCCTTTAATTGGGGCACTAGAATACTGACTAGTAGGTCACAATCGCAGGGATGGCTTGCCTGGCCTGCGAGGCTGCCCCTTCTACTACTTATATACTACAGAGACAGGTACAGAATAAATATAAATAGATTCTTTAGGGGTAATATTGGTAAGGATATCTTGGCTAGTCATGAATTATGGTGAATAATCATGCAATAGTTGGCCTAGCCTGTTCTTTCTGTCAGATAGCAGGTCAAGGGACTCTGCTATTGGGTCGTTTCCGCACCCTTTGCCCAGCAGTGCTCCACTAGTGACACGGCTATATGAATAGTCAGGTAACCATGCCTGTAGCAACTGCTCGATCGTGATCAGGGCACAGCCTGGCTATACTAGTGCCAATCGTATGAGATCTGTATCACACTAGCCAGATCTGGGCTAAGGGTTATGCCTTTACTGGTTCATTTCTAAGTCCTTTCAGAAGTGCTCGCGTGACTAGTCATCCTGACTTAGGCGTTCATGCCCAGATCGGTCCACTAGCGACTGAATAGTCAAGATCTGTGTGGGTTCTTACTTCTTGTTTGGACACTAGCAGCTGTATTCTTTACTAGTGACCGTATTTTACTAAGTCATACTAGCTTTGGAGGTGCTAGTCCAGTCGGCTGGTAGGGCTGACCCACTAGTGGTATCATTCCTAAGTCCTGACTCGACTAGTAGCATGCTAACTTGACTATCAGTCTGAAGTCTCAACTATAGCCCTTGATATACGACTAGTATAGGATAGACCTGCAACAGTATTGTTATAAAATTGCAAAATCTAGGTGTGAACGTGTAGACGGCGTATCAACGTACCGTAATATTCCACCGCAACATTTTTCTGCCACGAACAAGCAAAGTTTTAGTGCTATTGGGCAAGGGGAGATGGTTGTTGAGGTGCCTGATGGTGATGGCATATCACAGTTGCATCTCGCTGAGGTGCTTTACTCTCCCGAAATTGGGTATACCTTGATTTCCGTTGGTCGTCTTGATCAAGCAGGATGTACATTGTCCTTTGGGCAAGGACAGTGTCATATTGAAGACCCTGATGGCAACCATGTCAGTGCCATTCCTCGCTCAGAAAAGGGTCTCTATCGGGTTATCCATGATTCAGTTGATGGCGGTACAGCAAATGCAGCAACACCTACTGTTGTCATGGAAGATGAACTACACTGCCACATGGGTCATCTCTCTATCACTGTGGCCAAGCGGCTACTCTCTCATGGCTTTGTAACTGGTCTCCAGTTAGCTTCCAATCCCACTGGCAAACCCTTCTTCTGCGAGTCTTGTGTCTACGCCAAAACGAAGTGTCAGTCAGTCCCTAAAGTTCGCCAAGGTCCACATGCATCTACCTTTGCAGAGGAGGTACACTCAGATGTATGGGGCCTGTCTCGCACTGAAACCCTTACCCATAAGAAGTATTTCATCACATTCACTGATGATTACTCTTGGCTCACTCGAGTTTACTTTTTGCATCAAAAGTCGGAGCTTACAAAAAGTTCGAGTCATGGGTGAAGACGCAGGCGAAGGCTGATATCAGATGGCTTCATTCTGATCGTGGCGGCGAATATCTGAGCAAGGAGTTTGTCAATCATCTTGAGAAGCAAGGCATGGAATCCAAGCTCACGGTTCATGACACACCAGAAGAAAACAGCATCTCCGAGAGGCTCAATGGAGTCCTCCTGGAGAAGACTCATGCTATGTTCCATGCTAGTGGTTTGCTGAAATTTTTGTGGGGGGAGGCTGTACACCATGCAGTCTGGCTGAAAAATCAGTCATCAACACGCGCTATTCCAGAAGGGAAGACACCTTACGAAGTCTTCACAGGCAATAAACCCGATCTCTCTAATGTTCACGAATGGGGAACGCTTTGCTATGTTCACCAGCCCAAGTCTCAGGGGCAGTCGAAGCTTGATGGTCGTGTCAAGGTCAGCAGATGGATCAGAGTTGATGACAAAAGCCAGGGATGCCATATTTATTGGCCGGAGGAGAGGAGGGTGACAGTCGAGCATAGTGTGGTTTTTCAGAAGCCTGAGGTGATGGTGATGGTGGATGAAATGTCCAGCGAGAACTTGGAAAAGATTGAGGGGGAGAAAATGGCTAGTCAGCCCAGCAGTAACAATCCCAGTGGCAATCTTCCCCAAGTACAACCTAGCAACGTTCAGCTGAGCATCAAATCTGAGCCATTGTCACCTACCTTGCCGTTCTCAAATTCTGAAGCCCTCCCATCTCCGACTCAGCCAACTCACCCCAGAGGAAAGCAACCGAAGCATGAAGGCCCAACGCAAACCAACCCTGAGCGTGCAGGCCATCCTACGCAGTATCGAGTCCGGGAAGAACACCCCCGTCAACCTACCTTGACTCCTGAGACTATGCTAGGCTTTGTGAATGATGGCGAAGTTGAATATGCCATGGCTGCGGATACGAGCATTGCTGAGGGTCTTGATCCTTTGTCGTTAGCGGAAGTGAAGCATCGTCCGGATTGGGAGAGCTGGAAAAGTGCCATTGAGGAGGAGATTCGCAACTTGGTGGATGCCGGGACTTGGGAGATTGTTGAGGTACCTTCGGATGCTAACGTTGTGGGGTCGAAGTGGGTTTTTCGGTTAAAAAAGGATGCATTGGGAAGAGTGGTACGTTACAAGGCCAGGCTTGTCGCCCAAGGATTCTCGCAGGTCGAAGGAGTGGACTACTTCGATACTTACACCCCTGTTGCCAAGCTCGCATCCATCCGAACTATCCTCGCCCTCGCTGCATGGCTAGATCTGGAAATTCATCAGATTGATATCAAGGGCACATACCTCAATGGCGAACTCACTGACAATGAGAAGATATACATGCGTCAACCTCCTGGTTTCCCCCTTCCCAACGCTACTGGAAAAGTCCTCCGCCTTCACAAAACGATTTACGGCTTGAAGCAGAGTGGCCATCGTTGGTACCAGAAGTTCACGAAGATTTGCGGCGAAACTCTCGGCTTGCAGAGGTGTAGCGTGGATCAGGCTGTCTTCTATCATCATCAGGGGGAGTCAATCATCATACTTGCAGTCCATGTTGATGATTGTACCATCGTCACATCGAGTATCGAGTTGGTGGCCGAAGTAAAGAGAAAAATTGGTACGTGTGTCGAAGTTGTTGATATGGGACCTATCCACTGGCTTCTAGGCATCGAAATCACTCGAGACCGTGAACGACGCACCATTTCTTTGTCCCAACGCTCCTACATCGAGTCGATAATCCGCCGTTTCCATCTTGAAGACCTCAGACCTCTCTCCACGCCTATGAACCCTAGCGCGAACCTCTCATCCGCCCAGTCGCCTACCAGCCTCGAGGAAATCGCTAAAATGCGCAACATTCCGTACTCGGAGTCCATCGGGTCCTTGATGTACGCGTCGCAAGGTACACGGCCGGATATCACTTTTGCAGTGACAAAGTTGTCCAAGTTCTTGCAGAACCCCGGGATGGCACATTGGGATGCTGCTAAGCATGTCTTCAGGTATTTGAAGGGTACCCTTGACTGGAAGCTGACGTTTGGTGAGGTAGAGAAGGAGTTAGCAGGATGGGTGGATGCAGATGGTAGTCAGGAAGCGGAGCACCGCACAATCACTGGTTATGCTTACATCATCAATGGCGGTGCAGTCACATGGAGCTCCAAGCAGCAAGAACTCGTCGTTCTTTCCACCACTGAGGGGGAGTACGTTGCGGCAACGCAGGCTGCAAAAGAAGGACTCTGGCTTTGTTCTCTCATTTCTGAAGTCTTTGGCTTGTTCATTGATGGTCCCACTACGCTGTTTTCTGATAATCAATCGGCAATATCTCTGGCCAAGGAGCACCAGTACCATGCTCGTACAAAGCACATCGACATTCGGTACCATTTCATTCGATGGGTCATCGACAACGGCTCAATTCGTCTCATCTACTGCCCTACTGAGGACATGATTGCCGATACTCTGACCAAACCGTTGGCGAGCATGAAGGCAAAGCATTTCACGAAGGAATTGGGACTATGTGTGACTTGAGGGGGAGTGTTGGAGATACAAGTATGCCCATAGTCGGACCTGTTTGTACCCATGGACTTAGTAGTATTTACATGTCATGTTATTTTCATTCTTTTATTCCTTCTGTCTACTTACATTCATACTGTCACTGAATAGTATATATACCTCGTAGATTTACTCGTGCACCTCAGACGTGTTCTCTCGCATTACGAGTGCCAGTCTGAGGTGAGATATCCTTACTTACTTGTTATCTTTACCTTTACTTACATTCACTGTAGTTATATCTTATTATAGGTGAATAGACATGTTCTCTCACATTATGAGTGCCAGTCTGAGTTATATCTTATTATAGATAACTACAACTGCACTCTTGTATTCTAACAAGGAGAGAGTGTATGGTGGGCATGTTGGATGGTGTGGTAGCGAATATGGTGTGTATAACCTCCCTTTTGCCTCGACAACCACACCCTAACTGACTCAGTTACAGATCTGCACACACCTCCCAGCTGTCCCGTCTCCCACATGCATAGACCCTCCTCTACTCCCTCGACCAACATGGTATATCCTTTAACACATTCTACGCCTGCTCTGAGCAACCCAAACCCCCCAATGCACTTGTCATCATCAAAGACGACAGCGACACCATCTTTGGCACATTCGTAGGGGACATAATATGGAAAAGCAGAAGGAGAGGGTACTACGATACTGGTGAATCATATGTCGTGTCCCCTTCCCCCTTTCCTCCACTCACCCTCCGCAGATTCCTATGGCGATATTCCAACCACAAACTCTCGATGTACAAACCCACAGGTTGCAACTCCTACATCGCCCTCTGCGAACCTGATTACCTCAGTTTTGGAGGCAGGGACGATGGGGTGTATGGGCTGTATATTGATAAGAGCTTGTTGGAGGGCCCGTCAGCAAGGTGTGTGACGTTTGGGAACGACATACTTTGTTCGCCCAGGAGAGTGAGGGCAGGTGGAGCGGTGGGGTTTGAGTGTATTAGGTTGGAAGTTTGGAGGGTGGGGTAGGTAGAGATGTATGATTTGAGTGATGTCTGTTTGAGACGCTCTCTGTTACATCTGCTTTTGTAACCCCTCTAATCAAAAGAACTTCGTCCTTGCCACAGACAATAATTTGTGGGCTGGACCAAATCTCCCAGATGCTTTACGTTGGGAATATAAGCGCAGAAGGGCATAGTGGTTCTCTCCCCTCTCCCGCTTCTGGGAAGTTCGACCCCTTCCTCGTGCACATCTGATCCATGCAGTTGACATACCTTTTTTTTTCTTATGCTTTTAACCACATTATCATTCAAGCTTGTCATCAGGCTTTTTATGGGTAGTTTTTTCTCTTCTTCCTCAGGATAAATCCGTACCAGGTTTTTGGGTTAGAAAAAAAAACTCCCTAAGAATATAGCGGATGGATTGTATTTTCATACAGGGACTGCACCTCTGAGGCAAGTTCAATTCCCCTTCTGAGTGTGCACTCACATATCCCATCCAAGCTTTTTAAGTATTTTTTTTTCTGATGCAAACCCGGCATGAGTGTAGTAAACGACATCCATTAGGAGAAGAGCGCTTGTCAAAAGGAACTTTTTGTACAGTGACAAACTATACTTCACCTGCATCTCCCAGCAGACGTCGCTCCCGTTAATTAGTACGAGTGCAAAAGGGGGTAGTGGGTTCCCTTCCCACAAGCACCCCTTCGATGCAAGTTCGATCCCTTCCTCATGTGCATCTGGTTTAAGCAGTTTACATTATTTTTTTTTTATTACCAAAATGGAGTGTTGTCAGGTCATGTCTCTCATGACGGGAATATTGAAAGTCCAACTACTAAGAATGCCACTTTTTCTCACACCTTAAACCTCAGATGGGTGTTCGTCTCCCTTGCCCCTCCTTGTTCTATGCCTGAACGAACACAGGAGGGTATTTGAGCCTAGTCAGGTTACCATTACAGTGGAACTTGGCCAAATGCATTTCTTTCCCGCTACAATGAAATTGTAAGCCTCTTTGCGTTGGCCATCTCCTCAGGGAAGGTAATCATGATTCATACTCCCAGTTGTTTTGTGAACTAGAGTCCTCGCAAAGCAGAGAACCTGAGGAGCAGGCGAAAGCTTCCATGGATGGAAGGTTTCACTAGGGTGCGATCTTTGAAAAGACTTGACGAAACAACCAAAGGATATAAGACAGGAAGACATACTTATGGGTAATGCTGCTCATGCTTGGGGTTTTTCAAGCAGCGATGAGGAATAACAAGTTTGTACCGAGGTGGAGAGTGTTATGCACTAACTCTAATCTGAACCAAGGCTGATCTCTATCCTGTCACTCACATTCGGTGATTCAGTGTTAGAGAGGCATTGGTAGATTGTAAGAAGTTAGGCGTTACTTATTTAGCAAAAGCGAGGAGCTTGTAAGAGTTAGGAGTATATAACCTTAGCCAAAGCTGGGGCTTAAGGCCACAGCGTAGGCCAGCTTAAATACACGTTGGACTTGTACTAAGAATAGTGTCTACAAGGGCACATGTAGTGAGAAGTGCGCTATCTAACAAATGAGAGGTGAGTGCACTATCAGAAGCGCACTCCCGATGAATGAGAGTAAAGAGCGCATGTCACCTGCATCTGTGCGGGACTCCGTCTGAATGGGCTGCATCCCGTAGACCACCCTCGACTAGCGGTTGACTCTTGCCCAACTACTAAGAAGCATGATGCCATCAAGAGAAGCGTGATGGTGCATGTGGGTCAGTGGTCATTTGAGATGCGGCAGGGTGACAGCAACTGGATAAACAGGTAAAGAGTGTGCCGGTGGAATATCCTGGGTCCGAGAGATAAGATAGGCAGGTCCGGGGTTCTGAGCGATAAGGATAAGATAAGATAAGGAAAATAGGGGTAAAGTCATAATAGAGAGATATAGTGATTCTTCTTGTGATCTTCTTGTGACCTCCTATGCCTTCCTCATGCCCATTGGTCTATGTATCTTTTATACTTGGGACTCAGGAGCTTATTGCACTTTAATTTTCTTGTATAAGCCCTACCCATCCAGGTCTATGCTTGATTAGCAAATACTTTCACCATAAAAAACCGAATAGCAAGAGAAAGAGATTCCGAACCTCTGAAAGTCCCCTATTGGCTGTACACCTTGTCCCCGATTATCAGAGCAAGCAATGGGCATAATATAATCTAGAGATAGATGATAGAGGCAGCGTAATGGCAAGTCATGGGATTATTACAGAGAGAGACAACGTGTATCCTCACATTTGAGGAGGTCATATACGATACTGTGAAAATGTATATGCCATACAGCAGTGTAAGGGTTGATAAAAGTATGAATGTATACCCTCTATGCATAATAAGGCATTTTCGCTGCAAGTCAGTGGTGTCATCTCTTTTCTACCTATTGCTAACAGCCACACACTAAGAGGAGAAGGCATACATAAAACAATATCTTCCAGTTTAAGCTCGTCAAGGCGTATCTTTAATTCACGTAGGCTTTATAACTTTGGAATAGAGCAACCTAGCATACAGATACATTATATTTTTGAGGAGAACACACACTACATAGTGGCAGATACTCTAAGGGATGACGCTGAGAACCCTCATGTCCAGCACTGATTAGTCTTCCTTTGATTGTCACCACCATGCTCACTCGTTCTCGCAATGGGTTTTATTGGTTAAGGGAGTTACGGAGATGGGTATTCAAGTTACGTTTGTCTGGGTGGTTTTGTGAGTCCTCATGCAAAAAAAGGTAGGTCCAAGCAAGCAAACATAATTACCCTCATAATCCGGAATAAGAGACTCAATAAGTGACACATTCATTCTCCTGAGACACCTTTTGCACCAAGGTGCTGAATAGGTGGTCTGTTAATGTCATCAATTGAGTTGGGCCCGACACAGAATAGATATGTCGGATACACACAGATAATGGCTGATGGTTCCATTGGTGTACAGATCTGTGCGAATGAGTTATCCATGGAAAGAAATATGCAATGCTCATATGCGTGGGTAGCAGGCCAAATTTTGCAGAATACCTCCAAGGTATGTTTCCCTATCCACTTCACATTGCCTCATTACACTAGAGCTGTGTTGTCGCCTACTCACAAAACAGTAAGACTGTATAGAAATATGATGATATTGTAGTATGCATAAGCACACGTAGGTCTACTTGGGACCCGGTCGTCAACAATACATTGGAGATTGGATATGGGCATGCTACTGTACCACCTCCCCAATACACGATATTCATGAGAAGCTGATGGAATTTCAGTCTGCGAGAAGTAGCTATTGTGAAGGTGACTCACACTTGTCCATAATTCTTATCTTGCTTATATTTGCACTCATCTCCTTCCACAACTCACCGGGGATATCAACAAATATGCCATCACAAATGGCTAAATCATTGGTTTGAATGGCATAATTATTCTTATATTGAAGGTGGATCTCTGGGAAGTGGCAATTTAATGCAACGAACAAGGCCTGTGTTTCTTTTCAGAGCCTTAGGATTCATGAACACTGATATACTCATGTCATATTCAGCTACATCTGGCCACTGCAGAAAAACATGTTTTGTGCCTTTGAAAGCGATAATGAACCTTGGTTTGGGGGTAGCAGATGCAGTGGTAGTGGATGCCTGTGTCTCTATGATGTTGGTTTCAGTAGACATTATCAATGGGGAGAAAGAAGATGCTTTGTGAGAGTGTACATACCATCAGGACCAATTCAAATTCCATTGGATATATTTAGCCTGACCTTGTGACTGATACAAATCTAGATGTACAGAAGGGTAGACTGGCATGCTCAAATCAAATGTATCTGTGCCTGGGTACCCCGGACACTTCACCATGACTACAAGTGTTTCATACATTTATGTTAATAGCATTAAGTACGTTTAAGGTCATTATGTGGACATTTATGCTGCATTAAGAACATTCTTTTGCATCCATATTTCAAACAAGTGCCCACCACGTGCCAGGGCATGACAACCTTGCTGGACCTAGATCTTGTGACTAAGTATTAATGGCATCACCAGTTCAGTTGATTCATACCAATTCCAATGTCGAATGTTGAAGTATAATAGTAGAGTAGTGTTGCATAGTCAGGAAACTGTATAAACATATTGTGAACATTGAGAAGAATATTGAGAAGGTACGGTTAAGGAATGTTTCCGAGTCCTATGTATATAGGATACTCGGTTATTATGCTATCCTGAACTGACTGTGGGAATAAATCTATTTAGGGTATCAATCCATCACGGCATTTGCCGACTTGGCTACCTGAGCAAACCATGGGAATATTTCTATTCATTCACAGCAATTGCCGTCCTGGCTGCCTGAGCTCATCGTGGGAACCTTTTCTATTTGTTTGCCTCTACTCTCATGATTCCCATTTTTTCCTGTCCGTCCATCCGTTCTTTCCTAATTGGCACTCAATAGTTTTCTCTCTTCTTATTCTTTGGCTGGTCTTCATCTCCAGTATTCAAGGTCTCTTTCTGCTTCCAAGATCAAGACTCTTCATGACAATGTGTTATTCGAGAAAAAAAAGATCACCATTGAGCAAAATGCATTCTTGTCCTTCCAACAGTGGTACTGCTAGATTGCGAGCATAAAGAACTGCCAGAAGACCATTGTGTGGAAGACTGGTAAACCCTTCATGTCATAGAACCTCTTTTTCCAGATCATCAATATGGGTTGTCTCTTGCCTACAAACCTCATGGATTTTAGGGTCCAGATATACGTGACGAAGGGGATATGGGCTTATATGGAGCAGTACAGGAATATGGAGAGTTGGACTGATATTATGATCCTTGGGCTGGTGCATTGTTTCCATGTTTTCTTGTCATCGTTGACTGAACCCTTGTAGGTGCACTATATGTTGGTTTTCTGGAATATGCACAATTTTGTGGGTGGCGATGTTCTGATTATATGCATCAATTGGGACAAGGAACTTGTGGATGTGGCAGTGGATTACTGGGTCAAACTGAGTGCTGATAACTGGATGAAGGAAGAACATGACGCAAAATGTGTGTAATCCCTTCTCTAAAAATTCTCTAGCTAATATTAGACTTTGTATAGTCTGTCAAGTCTATGCGAAGGTGCATGGTCACAACCCCTGCTTCTACCAAGTCAATCCATATGTTTGTGCCCTGCTGCTTGATGAGGAGGTCAGCTACATCCTGTCATTCATCGTTATTTTAGAAACTAGGAAGGACGGTGAGCACTGCCTCCAGTTTACTCCTTTCTGTCATAGCTTATCACCTTACAGGCAAGGATCATGTGTTCTTCACTCATCCATCCCACTGCCCACTGCCCTCCATCCTCAACACCCTCCCAAAGACATGCAGAAGTGCCTCCTGCACCAACTCAAAGTGCATTGGAGTATGGCGCATTGAGGATTGCTGCAGCCTGCACTGTACAGGCCTGATGGTCTGAGAGCTCCAATGCTATGAAGATTGTGTGGTGTGTAACCTTTGGGGATGTGAAACAGAACCAGTTTGATGCGGACAGGAAGGTGGTTGGACTCCAGAGATGTCAGAAGTATAAGGAGACCTTGTATTGTTGTCAGAAAAGCCACCTTGTTTTCTTCACACATTTTTGTATTGCCATTTCCCACTTATTTTATCGATGATGGCAGTTCCCTTTCTTGTTATCTCATTCACGTGCCAAAGCCTGTGTAACCTTTTGGGATGTGAAGTGGTACAGATGAACCTCACAGTTTATTTTTGTACACATCTGCTGTTGCGACTGCAGCCTATTTACATGTGTAATTTTGCAATCTAACATGTTTTACATGCATACTGAGATATAGTAAGTGAGCAGACTAAAACTATGCATCGACACTAATGCTATGTGGTGCAATGATATGGAATATAACTTATGGCATAAGAAGCAACAGGATTCTAAACAGGACTTAGTCACAGCACTGTACCTGATGGGCATGTGTGATGAGAAGGCCAAACCCTATACCCAATGCCTTAGGCTTTAACTTACAAGCATGCTCACAGGAGCTAGATAAAACCTTGAAGATTGCAGTGACACTGAGAATACTTAGTGCGCTCGCTAACTGTGATGTGTCGTACCTGAAAATCCAGGGAAATCCTTAAGCGAGATGACAGATATCACCGGCATGAACTTGGGCAATGGGCTTTGGCCAAAGTCTGCGAGCCCACATTCCATTGTTCTGAGTCCCATTGTTAGGAGCCTCACTTGTTGCCATGTCTACAAGAAGCCTCTGTGAATCCAAGAAAGAAGTCTTGCATGACATATGCCAGGACTGATAGTTCCGGGCACCTAGACCTGTCGGTCACTAGAGAAGAAGCCCACAGGTGTCGGGAGAGCACCTCTTGGCATGCGTTTAGTGAGCTCACTATAGAAATGAGACTAAAACTGGGAAGTCCGACTCGGATGCTCAGTAAGGCAGCAGTGGCAATGTGCTACGCATGTAGGAGTCTGGGTACTGCATGACATTTGTAATTCTAATTCCCCTGTAGTATAAGTAGGCTGGTTACAGTAGGTAGAGGCCAAGTTTCGAGCCCCCGAGTTCCCGTGCACGCATTGAAGGTGGTACTGTAACAAAGGATCAGTTTGTGACTTTGAGCTGTGCATAGAATTAGTGAGCTCACTCAGAGAAATATGAGATACCCTTTTGATAAGACTATTGAGAACTTAGTCAGAGTGAATATGAATCAGTGAAGCTGTTTCTGTTCTGTTAAGTGTGATAAGTCTGTTTGGAGAATGTGTTGAAGTGGAAATCTGAGATCTGTTCTGTTCTGTTTCAGTCTGTTCCATGTCAGTTCTGTTCGAAGTTCCGTTTCTGAATCTGTTTCCAAGCACTTCTGAAGTGTTCTTGAGTCACAATAACCTGCTGGAGTTAGTTGGAGAACCCCTACATACAGTTGTGTAGCGAGCGGGCTAAGTCAGTGCTTGCCTGTGGTGTTCTTTTAGCGAGCTCACTAAAGTTTCAGCATGTATTGCCTCTGTTTCTGTCAGGATCAGTGTCCCTTGTGTATTATAACTCAAATCTGCCTTGAAGGTTGTGTTGCGCCAGTGAATGACCTTCCTGTAAAAAGTTCCTAGACTTAGGAATTCATTAGAGAAAGCTTAGCTTCGCTAAGAGCACTGAGGATAAGAGAAACTCTTCGAGATATTGAAGTATAGTCAGATCACATTAGAAATAATTGCTCCCCCTAGAACTTACAAGGGTGATTGTAGTTTGTGTAGTTGTGTGAGTGTGTGTGTGGGTTTTTGAGGTTTGCCTTTTAGCCCACTCACTATTCCACAGGTGCCCACAGCCAGCCTCTTCACTGCTATAGTTACTAGTACATGAATCCAATTATTATTGTTATGTTTTTCTTATATTTTTTTGTTCAAAAAAAGCATAGGACTCGGACCTGCCATGCGGATGCATTGGCCCTCACCAACTAGTATATAAGCATCGCCACTTTCCATCTTGGTCCATCTTCTCTCTCAGCTCTCTTGCTCGTTGTCTCTCTCAGTTGTTGTCGCAATCTCCATCTTGTCAGTGTATTCATCTCGTCAGCATCATTGTCATTTGTTGTGTCGTTTCACTCAACTTTGTGTCTTGTTTCTTTTCGGTTCATTTCATCGTCTCTGTTGTCCTTGTATGAGTATGAATATGTTCATATGTTCAGCATCATAGGTTCATCCTTACTTTACTTTGTTTGTCATCACTCCTCCCAAACCTCAGACACTGCGTACTGTGACCCCCTTTGGTTTTCCAAGTCTCAGGTGCTGTGTACCACCATCCCCCTTCACATTCAGTAGCCCTATCCCCAAAATATAGTCTTGTCAGATAAGGTGGGTCATTGTTCAAGTCCAGCATGTTTGTTAGGCCTTACCTTCTTCTAGTATGTCCTCAAAGATCCAGTTGGCCTTTAAGTAAGTTGGGATTATTGAGGTATACACTCAAGAAGGTGAGCTGATGAGTCAATGTGGCATAGATGCATGAAGAGATTCTTGAAGGCTGCAATGGGTCATCATCCGAGGCAAGGTGAGTACTACAGTTTGAAGTTCAATGATGCAAGTCTGAAGTCATTGTGCATGAAGGCGACCATAATCCTAACACCCCTGGCCCAATAGACCATGTTGCTTCTGCACCCCCCTCGTATGACACAGCTCCCCTCCATGCTATGTCAGTCAACTTCGATGATTCCATGCTGCCTCCATATTCACCATCGTCCACTTCTGTTGATGGCATTGATGCTGTGCCACCATCATATTCCGCTACTTCACCTTCATCTGCTCCAAGCTCCTCAAGCTTCATGTACTCAGCACCATGTTCTGGTCCTCAAAGCGTTGACATTCGCCACCATGGCATGTACATCCCTCCCGGGTTCAGGCCGCAGTTCAAATGAGTTGGATGGCATGGGTCCATAAAGTCTGGGGTTGCAAATAGGCAGCATAAACCAGTTGTAGAGACAGAAGACTTACCATTTTTGCATTTGTTATAGTAGAGTTGAAGCAGAAGTAAAGACAGGAATTTTTTTCTTGAACCCTGAGAGGTGTATAAGGGCTATGGTGCCCTGGCCTTCAGAACCAGTATGACTACCATCCCACTGGGTAGCCAGGTAGCTGAATCTTGAGCAGAGTATTTGGACTGAGATTTGCCTGTGCAGCCAAATCAACACTGGCAGCACTGGGCCTGTCAGCAAGCGATGAAGAGTGATCTGGGAATGAGTCCTGATCTGCATAAATGAGGCTTTAAACCCTGTCTCGACACCGTAGAATATGCAAAGTAACGTAAGACTAAGGCATGGAAAAAGGACACATCGAAGGCAGCAGCCTCACTTGCTGATGTGATGCTAGGGCACTGCTGGGCATATCCCGGGTTGGGTGCAATGAGAAGCATCAGATGCTAATGGAGTTGTGTGTAGCAGGGCTCGTTCAAGGAAGGAGATGATGTGATATAGACCCAGTAAATGAGGGCTATCCCAGAGATGTTCATTAGGGTTTCATGACCATGAAAAAGAGCACATATGATACACGTAGTCTTCCCTAAAAAAAAAAAGTCAAAGTCAAAGTTGAAACTGGAATATGCTGACATTGCAGTGCTTCATAAAGATAATGAGAACTGCAAGAAATCTTTTTAGTATATACAAGGGTCAATGAAGGTGTCAAGGAAACTCAAAATTGAGCAAACACATCCTAGAACGGTGTCCTGGTCGCTTCTGAATGTCACTCCCATGACAGTTTATCCTTTTGAAAGCTCAAGAATTGTCTGAAAACCATGCAATTGGGTGAAAACTCACATAAAGATGCTGTTCATGCTTGTCCAGTAATTTTGCGATGGATAAATCGAATGTGGAACAGTCTGATGAATTCCTTCTGATATGAAAAGATTTAAACCTGTCAATGGATGCTTACCAGATAATTTCGGATACGGCATTGGAGACGTGTCGGAAGCATTAGGAATGATGTCGGAAGCCATTGCATGAAAACCAGCAGTCCAATTGGGTTGACCATTACTCATTGCCTTTCAGTTAACTTGAGTTAACAAGGTTGTATGGCATCTGTGAAGAGTGGACTGGTCTCCTGTACAGAGGTGCCTTGATAGCTTCGTTTGGCCACTGTAGAAGCAGGAATGGCTTGACTGAAGAGTGATGGATAGATTACTGATCCAGTGACTGCCTACAAGTCAGCAGTAATGCTGCAGGGAAGAGGTAGAAATCCTGATATATGGATCAAGGAAAATGGCTCACTCATTGATATAGCTCAGTGAGCCTCTTGCGTATGTCAAAGGTAGAACATAAGCTGAGTTCCTGGTGATTAAAGAGTGTCCTTGGTTGTGGTAATCAATGATAAAATCTGCCAGCATGACTGGCTCATGTTTTGCTAAGGGAGACAGGTTATACTTTATATGGGTTTAGTGGCTGGTTCAAAGAGGGGCAGACACCAAACAGCCAGTTGCAGAAGGTAGTGGCTAGAGCTGGAGCTTTTTTTTGGCAGTGTGTTCTCTTCAGAGTAAGGATATGAAGCACTGGAGTTGGTAAAAGTGTGATGTGGAAGAATGGAGATGGAGGATATGTACAAGTTTCAGGCCTGTGGCCAAGTGCTGCAATTGGAATGGTCACATGTTATAAAACACATGATTTTATAAATTACTTCACTGGAAAAAGAGTGGACAGGGAGAGTTTGAAAGTGTTTCTAACCACACCTGATAATAGCAAAGTATCAAGTAATGGTGGCAGAACCTAATTATGAAACTAGCTGGACTAATTTTAGAGGGCCAGTGGAAGAGGTTGGACAGGGTCTGCTAACAATGCAGTTACACAGCCCCCACACATACACCTATGTTAGTTTGGTGAATATTGTAAAGTATAGACCACACAGATAGTGTAAGAAAGTGCTGTATTACTTTCCATTGTCATCCACAGCGATTCCTGCTAGCTATGTAAAAGGTCAATTACCTCCCCTTCATTGCATGTGCTGATAGTAATATCTAAGCCTTCATCTTCCCATTCCCTCAATCTGAGGATCTGATCAGGCAATAACTCATGGCAGGTCAGGTTTCCATTGAAGAACAATTCCACATAGGATTCCACAAGAAGGAAATATACAGGTCCATGGGAAAGGTGGTCCAGGTGATCACACCTAGCTCCAGTCCTGGTTATCCTTGGCTACTTATTCCCTCTTCCAGAAAAGCATTCAGTTGCCACTTCGCCTCGCCTTTTCCAGTGTTTCCCCCCTGGACACCACAGATATCACCTTGTGGTCGCAC